GACACTCATTGTCAGATTTGAACAAGTACCAGAAACACAGGATTATTACAAGGTGGGTTTGGGGCCTGCTTCTAGAGTTTCCGATTCTGCAGGTGTGGGACCCAGAAATCCACATTTCTAGTAAGTGACAAATGTGCTGGTGCTTCTGGCCTAGGGGTGAGAGTTTTGAAAGTGCCTGAGTCAGGAGTTCAATAGCACAGCTTCCTAGGGCAGGAGAAGGAGCACATGGATTCCCTCTACCCTTTTGCCCCAGTTTTATGATTATGAAGAATTTCTTTTTGTTATTTTGAGACAGGGTTTCTCTGTATATCCCTGGTTGTCCTGGAACTCACTATGTAGACCAGGCTGGCCTTGAAGTCAGAAATCTGCCTGCCTCTGCCTCCGGAGTGCTGGGATTAAAGATGTGTACCACCACTGTCTGGTTATTATGAAAAAATTTAAAGGACATTTCTTAACATGAATCAGATACATACATGTATTCTTCATGAATGCATATTAAAATAATATTACATTGACTAGAAATTCAATGACCACAGTATTTTGAAAAGTAAATAATAAAACATATTATAGTTTAGGAGGAAGCCAATCATCTCTACTGCAATATATCCATTTATTTAAATGTCAGTCAAGTTTTCTCTATACATTTCTGTCCCATCTATTAAGTTGGCTTTAGAGAATTTTCAGATACTCAAAGGAATTAACAATGAAAAACCATAAGCAGGCTTAAATGCCCATTTTTCTTTTTGCTTGAAATATTTTTTAAGGTAGTATCATAATTTACACAAGATATATCTGTTTTCTTATATCAAAGCTCTTTCCTGGGCTGTGTAATTATACACAACAAAACCTAGGCATTGCTCACGAAACTAACCCAAGCATCCAGAGACCCTAGCAACATTAGGCAACATCAAAGGGTAGTTTCTTAAAGCTGCCTGTTAAGAACAACACCAGGTATGCTGAGCCACCTGCTTAACTATAATTTATAAATATTCTTTAGGTTATGGGATAATATTCATTTGAAATGAAGACAATAAGAGGAGTATTTCTCAAGCATCTAAGAAGCTGAGCATGTTTGTTCAAGATTTTTAAAGAAGTACATGTATAATTACTTCTTTCTTTTTCAAAACAGCATTTTAGCTTTAAATGTGCAGAGCATAGCACAAGGCCCCCCAGAGGGTGGAAGCTTTGTCTGTGAGCCCGAGTAGGGGATATGCTGGAGGTTGCGGCTCCTCCAGGCTTCGTGAGAGTGCGCACAGCTGTTTTAGTGTTTCGTTTACTTCAGTTTTTGCTGCTGTGTCAGATAAATAAAAAATAGGATAAAATCACTGACAATCCACTTCAGTTGAAAGTTGAAAAATGAAAAATAATATGACCTTTTCACAAAAACCAACTAAACAGCCAACTGATCACACACCAGTCTCACTGACTAGACACTGCCTCTACCTGAATGAATAGCTCCAATGTCAGCTTGGCTCTAACCTGGGAGATGAATGGGATCTAGCACTGTGCTAGGATGGCTACCCATCCTATTCACTTTCTCATTAGGTGATTCCAGTGAAGTAAGAACTTCGGTTTTAAAATCATGATAGCTTTGGCAGACAAAGACAGTTGGAAACCCTAAAGCATGTTTTTCACATTTTCTCTGGTGCCTTACAGTATGCATGCATGCATATCTTTATTTATATCTACATATCTATATCATCCATATCTATGCAATCTATGTCTACATCTTCTGTAACACAAGCCAGTTTCTAACTTCTGCACTTGACTCTGAAATCCATTTCACTGGGCACCTTTACTGGGTTCATTCATTTGTTGTTTAAAAATTTTTTATTGCAATGGCTTATTGACTATGTGTGTGTGCACATGCACACACATGTGCATGCATGCCTGCATGTACGTGAGCTTAAATGTGCGTGACGTGGCTTGCATGTTGAGGTCAGAGGGCAACTTTTGAGAGTCAGCTTTTTTTTTCACCAGAGATCAAACTCGGATTGTTAGATTTCGTGACAAGTGTCTTTATCCACTTGAGTTTTCTTGATCGCCTAGTTAGTTTCCTTCATTAATTAGTAGTTGTCCCTGTGAAAGGTGACCAAGTTAATATCTTCTATTTGATTACAAAACATGATGATGTCCCATTTATTGAAAGCTCAATTAAACAAATTTGGCAATTTATATGTTCTCTTCCTGGCAGTTTCAAAATAAATTTTCCCCCTACAAAGTGGGTACTCAGAAAATTCTTTTTCTTTGTTTGTTTGTTTTTGTTTTTTGAGACAGGTTTTCTTTCTGCAATTTTGGAGCCTGTTCTGGAACTCCCTCTGTAGACCAGACTGGCCTCAAACTCAGAGATCTGCCTGTCTCTCTCTCCTGAGTTCTGGGATTAAAGGCATGAGTCACCAACACCTGGCTTAAAAATGTGCAGTCCTAGTTGGTCTCAAACACATGATCCTCCTGCCTGTGCTTCTTTTAGCAAATCCTACTGGTATGCGCCACCACAAGGAGTCAGAAAATTCTATAGGATAGAAAAATTCATTCTGGATTTCAACTAGTGGTTTCTAATTCTATTTCTAATTCCATACCTTCAAGGAAGATCATGTAGGAACTGTATAACAACAATGTAGAAAACTAGAGGTGAGCCATTGATGGGTTCTAATGTATCTCCTATTCATCCAACTTGCTTTTCTAGACACATTGTTGTTATCTGTGAGGTGGATGATATCACACAGACTTCAAATATGTAGCCCTGAAATGACCATGTAACATGTATCTGTAAGTGTAATGGCGGCCGCTTACAAATCTCATTTTGTCTGGCTCCCCTCCTGACCCTCCTTTGTCAAGAATTACTTTAAACAATAAACATGCCAGGACTTGCTCTTTGGATGATGTATCATATTTCAAACCTTTTATTTTTGCACAAAACTGAAAACTCTGGAAAAACATGGAAAGGAATAAGACCGTCATGTTTTCATTAAGATATAGGCTGTTGGTTATATGTTTATTAAAAAAAATTCCATGGTAGTTCCACTAAAAAGTGTGATTGGCATGGTGCATTTGAAAGCACTGTTTAAGACAGAACAAAATAGAGACCATAATATTTGCATAAAAAGTTCTCAGTTTTGGATTATATGACGATATATACCTGTTGGAAAATGTATGTGGAAAAAAGAAATAATTTTTGTACAACCGTGACTCATGTGTAAGCTTTCATTTATCGTAATCCAGCCAGCCAAGGTAAATGTGTTTGGCTTACTAGACACACTTATGCAGCATTTAAAAGGGAGCAGGGAAGTTTATTAAAACAGAGAGCTCCTCGAACAGCATGCAGATGTCAGGGAGCTAGGTCCTTGGAGCACACTTGTTGTGTTGTAAGCAGAGGTCCTCACAGTTTCACACTGGTTATAAAACCTTATTTTGTGCTGCTGGCCTGGAGTGAGAACGCCATACATCTGCAGGCAATTAGAAAGAGCTGGGCTTCGTATTTGATTAGCTCACTAATAAACCGGCACAAGTGTGACTCGACTTATATTAGTCAGATCCCTAGACAGATTATTCTGTTGTTATCATATGAAATAACCCTTTTTGTCAACAATTAAGTAAATCCACATTTATGGGCACTTTGCAAAATTGGGAGGTGGGAAGAAATCCAGCTTAAGCCTTAAGTCATTAAAAGGCTTTTAACCCTAACTTTTCATAGTACAGACCCCCAAACCCAAATTTGGAAATCGATGAATTATTCCAAACAGTTTAGATTAAAAACTCTAGTATGTATATAACAGATAATTGTTATAATTTATATTTTCCATAAGCAAAGTGCCTAATAATTTTAATTTGCAATTAAAAACCCTCCAGAGAACTGATAATTATGCTATTTTTAATATGTGAAAACTAACTTTGTAAGGTAGTCTTTTGGTATTCTAATTCATTTAATAAACATAAGATAAAGTTTCATCCAGTAACCTGAAAAATAGTTAAATAACTACTTAAAGATACAACTTTTCAATTAGACAGAGAGCTTGTAATGTATCTGTGACAATACTGTGAAACTATATGGCTAACGGCTTTATTAAATAAAGCTTTCTGCTTTTTATTAATTAAATATGTCTCTACCTGTGGGTTTTAAAAATGTTTTAAACTGAAATAGAATTATATCACTTCCACCCTTTCCTCCTTCCAGGCTTTCCTAGATGCCCTCCTTTAGTCCCTCCTGAGACTTAACCCCACTCCCAAGTAGATAGCCTATTTTTCTTTGATTATTATTGTCATATATTTATGTATGTGTATGCACACATATATGACTACACCTGCTGAGTCCGTTTTGTTGTTGGTGTGTGTATGATTTGGGGGTTTCCCACTCTCAATTGGATAATAGCCAGGAAGTGGAAACAATCTAAAACCCTTCAATAGATGAGTAGAAAATAAAAATGTGGCACATGAACACTCTGAAATACTATTCACTATAAAGAAAAATGAAGCTATAAAGTTTTCAGGTAAGAGGACAGACCTAGAAAATACTATACTGAGAAAGGTAACCAGACCCAGAAAGATACTTCAGCATGTTCTCTCTCATCTGTGGTTCCTATCCCCAAATCCTCAGATGTAAGGACATAATCTGGAGTAGCAACAAAGACCATAGGTGGTGGGAGTGTTGGTGTGGAGTTGGGAGTGGGAAGGTGCTGGGCTTGATAAGGGAAAAGCAGGATACAGGTGATGAGAAATGAGAAATGGAAAGACAGGGAGGTAGACTCCAGCTGGGGAGGAGGTCAGTCCAAAAGAAGGAGGATGAAGGACAAAGAACACTAAGGTTGTTTGATAAAACCTCAAGGAATCACGATTTTATATTTACATAAAATTATACAGAATGCATAAAAGTGTGTGTGCGTATGTGTGTGTGTATCTGTGTGTTTGTGTATGCCTGTGTATGTCTGTGTCTTAAAAGAAGTTAAATCACTCTGACTGCAGTGCTCTCACAAGAATCACAGACTAATAAAAAAAACCAGCAAACAAAACAAAACAAAACCTTGGTACTGGTCAAGAATGATTGGTCAGGGTAGTCCAAATGACTCCCCCAAAATACAGATTTTTAATGTAGCCATTGGTTGCCTCTCAGAGGTTAAGATTGGTCCCTATTGATGAAAACACCACACACTTAGGGTACTTGACCCAGATGACCCAAGCTGGATCTGATCTGAAAGCATCTTTCTTATGGTCTAGCCTTTCCTATGGTTCCAGAAAATACTATGCAAGCTGCCAAGAGAGGGAAGCAATTAAACGGTTCTTCCCAGATGAAGCACCTATGAACCATGACAACGATCAGAAAACTATCCAGAAATGTGCAATGTGTGAAGCTAACATGTTCGTGGTAACCAAGCTGTCTAGGTGGACGGAAGGTCCACTCAACATCAGGAAAGTCATATTGATACTACAAACCTAGCCAGCTTTCCACGGCTAGTAAAATCATAGGTATTAGAAAAGAGTCAGCTACCATCACTTTGTTAGACCAATTTCTTACTACACTCTAAACCTTATCCTTATACCCACAGATAATGTAGCTACCAGCCCTCATCAAAGAAGCCTCTCTTTACAGCAAATGGAGATTATCAGAGAAAGCCACAACTGCACGCAATGCAGAGGCCAACAGAATGTGGTGAGCACAGCCCCTGCAGATACAGCTATATCACAATTCCTGTAGCTGTCAGGGGAGAGGCAGTGAAAAAGATTATTAAAGTCAGACCGCCAGGAGCCTGCTGTGAAACACTCTCTCCTAGAAATGGCTGCACTCACTGGATTGGAACTATGGCACTATCAATGGGTATGTTAATAAGGAAGGGGGAAAATTTCAAGGGGTCCTACTCCTAGACATAGAACTACAGGCAACTAGTCTAAATATTTTAAAGGAAAATTACAAAGGATTTCATTTTCACTATTCACAAGTTTGTTTCTATCATGCCCAATGTGTGTCTTGGATTAATTTTGTTCTTCATGTAGTTATAGGCATTGTTCCTCAATTCAGTCAGGAGTGTCAAGGATGAACCATGAACTACTTTGATAAATAGCCCACTCTTTATCTTTCTTTCAAGTATCATTAAAGTATACAATACCAAAGGGCTAAAAATTACTCAGAATGTAAACATCTAAACAACTTCATCAAAGATATTTTATTTCAGAAAAAATACCATCAGAACTTTCAAGCTAATATATTTAAATGACTCAACTAAAAGATGGTATATCTGAAATAAACGGAAGGTATTTTTCACCAGCACACACACACACACACACACACACATTCTCATATAACCTCATCAGTTTATCTCATTGTCATAATCCTAAATTAGATACTAGCATATCAAGCAGATGCTGACGCATTCATCATCAATACTGGAATTCTGACTCATGACAGTAACACAAAACAGATGCTCCTCTGAGGCCCCCTGAAAGGTGACACCATCATTGCTCCTGATGTAGGGGTGACTTAAAATTTGCCCACAAAATATCAAGTAATAAAAACCAGAGCAGGGCGGATTCCTCACTTAACTTATAAAAGTTAACATTTAAGAGTTCCCATCTCTATTTTGAAGATAGAACAAAGCACCAGAGAAGGAGAGCATGCTCCACTAACGCTTGATGGCACTAACTCTTGAGGGATCTGTGACCTCATTCATGACCGGACAGAAGAGCAGGGCAAGCTTGCCCATCCTGCGGGTTCTACCTCTTCAGCCCCTAGCAATGTGAAATGAGTCTTGGGTCTCCTATAACCTGGTCTCTGGAAAAGAAGCATCACACCAGCAGTTCTGAGAGAATTTTGCAAGAAAGAAAAGGCAAACAATCCCTTAGCAAGTCCACTTGGTTAATATCTTACATATCTTCAAAGTCCGCATTCTTATTGCTTTGCTAGCATGAATCTACAGCTGTTTCTAGAATACACAGTGATGTGTACTCTGTGAAAATAAACAGAAAAGCCCAGGCCTATGGTGCCATGGAGCAAGTGATAGAATAAAAGTGCTGAAACAAGATCTTTAACAGAAACAGCCTCATGAATGCAGAGCCTCCCTCCGCGGTGGAGAGAAGTAGGATCCTTTTCTTGAGCGAGAGAAATAAGTTAGTGGCAACTCCAACGACAAAAAAATATCTTGAGAAACTGAAGGGGGACATTTACGGAGCAGGTCAACAGCATAATTTCAAATTCCAAGCAAATAACTGGACCCTTCTCCTGGCATCGACTCTGGCATGATTCTGGCAACCCCCTCCTTGGGCTTAAAAACCAGCTCTGTGCCTAACACCTGTGTGACCTCTGCTTCTCAAGCTTGGCTGCATACTGGAACCCCACTGGGAGCTTTAAAAAACAGTGATGCCTGGAATTCATCCTGAGGGAGTGTTATTTAATTGTGCTAGGGTGTGGCTTGGCCACTGAGAAGCATTAAAAGGCGCCTAAGTGACTATAAATAGAGCAGCTGAGGTTCGGAACCACTGGTGAATTTTCTTCCTCATCTGTAAAACAATGATGACATCAAGAGCAAGTAACTTTTAGGATTATTGCTATGGTGACATATGCTACTGCAGACATAGTGCTTAGCACCATGTCCTGTGTGGGAAGCCCTTGATCAATGTGAGCTATTACATTCTCACCAGGAGGTGAGGGCAAGAACTCACTTGTCAGTACAAGTCATGCTCACCTTGGCACACATTATGCTCACTCTGCTCGTAGCCTGCTGCACACTGGATCCGGTGGGAAGGGTTGGAAGGGATACGCTGAGGGTCAGCTGGGTTCCTCCGGATGACAAAATTATTTCGGCCAGTTTGTACTTCAGGGCCAGCAACTGCAGTAGCGCTGGCCATGAAACCACCTCCAGGCACCACACCGCTGGTTGCCACGCTACTGGCAGCTACGTTTCCAGTGGCGGCACCTGATGATGCTTCTGCAGCTGGTGTTTCTTGCTGAGGCTGTTCATTATTGACAATAATTTGGGCTGTTTTAGGAAGGCAGAGATATCCTCCATAGTGGTTGACGCATTTCATTCCACCTTTGCAAGCATCTGGGACAATGTCACATTCATCAATATCTGTAGTTAGTAATAAAATAAGTCAGCAATCTTCTCAGAAGAGAGTATGGTTAGCTCACATAGGACTGGAAGAGCACATGAGATGAGGACAGAGCTGTTCGTGGATCAGGAGTCTTAGAAGCAAGCTTACCTTTGCACTGCTGTCTTACGGGGTCCCACTCATATCCATCGGTGCATTGCTGCAAAGAAAACATCAAACATTGGAGCTGGAAGACAATGAATGGCCTCCCTGAGAAGCTACTGTACAAGGATTATCTGATGCTTGGAACCCTAGGGAAATGAGATGGGCAGTGACTTCCACATTCTTCCCTCTAAGACCAGTAAGGCTAATGGGCAGGTTCTCTTCTCTTTCTTAGCTGGTCCGAGCCCTCTGTGTGTTTGAAACAGTTGTCCATCACAATCTTCTTGGAATTCTTTTTCTCTTTTGAGACTGCTCACCCCAATATTTCTGACTGATCTCCCCCACTTTGTGAAAACCAAAGGTCAGCTGGGTTTCCTATTTTGTCCCAACAGGTCCAGTCCACCCGTAGCTGTTCCTCTCTCCAGCCGGGGCTTGTGGAGATCAAGCTGTCAGGCATTCCCAGGACACACCCCAAAGGCGGCCCCCATCATCAAGGTCACACCATCTTCTCCCTAAACCCAGTACTCCTTCCTCTCTCACAGCCTTATGGGAACAAGAGGAAGCCTGACTGCAACTATATATCATGGACTGCCTGGCCTGGAACCTTTCTCCTTCCTCTGACACACATCTGAAGTGACTCCCTCACTCTGCCACGTGGACCTGCGCCCTCCTGAGAGCTGCCACCATGCTGCCTATGACACTGGGACCTAGTATCTCAGAGACTAGGCCGTGCCTTCTGTTTGTCTGTCAATGTCTCTCTTAGTAATTATCTTATCTCTCCTCAAACCCTGAATATCAGTCTCCACTGGTGAGGTTTTCAGGTTCATCAGGAGTTTTGACTGCCTGCTAAATTTTTTCTAAAACCTTGGCTCTGGGTCAGATGATGCCCTGGGCTGACTCTGTTGCCCTAAACCAGCTGAGTCTTACTGTTTAGGACATCTGTTGCACCTACACGCCCCCAAGGAGGAAGATGGATGCTGGAAACCTCTTAATGGAATTTTTTATGTCCGAATTCTTCCAGGTACAGTGCAAGGGCAAATAGTCAGAGGGTTTGCTCCCAGAGTCCTTTTGACCATAGGAACTGCTTTCCTCTCTGCCAATCATGCAACTCTCACAGCCCCATCCTCTGGCTGGCCCGAAACTGGGACCTTTTTCTGTGGGAGGTCACAAGTCTGTAAGCTTTCTAGCCAGACACTCTACTCCACAGATCTCAAGGCAGCTCACTGCCGCCCCCTCCTCCTCTGTGAGAGCCAGCCATCAAGCATCTCTGTAAATCCTCCCTTTTCTCTGATTCCTACCCTTTATATCTGGCCTCCACAGGCCTCTTGGCCTTCCCTCTCCTGTGGGCCACCTTCTAGGATTTTCCTCCAGGACTGCTTCAGAACTGTACAACATGTGGTGCTGCTGCTCCCCAGGCAACTTCATTCTGTGTTCAATCAGCAGGTGCGGCGCCCGCGCCACAAGCAAGTCCAGGGTATCAGGAAAAGAAAGACCAAATGTCCAGCTGTTTGTACTAAGAAGTGTATTTTGCAAGTGCTAAGAGGTCTCTCTCCTGTAGGAGGGAGCAGTCTTACATATAGTCTTACAACACAGTGGAAAAACCCCAGGTGGAAGAGAGCGTGTTTCCCTCCTGCTAGATGTGGATGTCAGTGGGGCAATGCAGGGGCAGTAAACCAGGACTAGAAAACAGGATGCACCTGTGGCTATCAGCTGACAAACAACTCAGAGACCCTGTGGGGGCCCCAACAAGCAGGCTCCTGAACTTTGTGGTCTCCAGACTCTTCAGCCACACCTCCTTCCTGAGACATGACGGTCTACACCCCTTGGGTCTCCTACAGCTCTCAGCTACAAGTGGCAAACTCTTTGTGAGGGGAGGGGTTGATGAAGAGGCCCAAACTGGCTCCAGGCCAGAGGTGTCTTCTGCAAGCTTGCCTGCTCAGAAGAACTTCTTTTCGCTATGCCCCTCGCAGGTTGGATGTAATCATGGCATTTCAGTGTGCCGTCATTTGTTTATGTGCTGCCCGTGTTTCCTGGCTTGTGTTCACAAGTCACATGTATGTAAATTACCTTTAGTTGCCATTCTGTATTCCAAGGAAAAAACTAAATAGAACCTGTAGTTATTGTAACTGAGTGATATATACCTGATTTTAAAATATGGGTGTGTGCACAAGTTAGTGGGTACACACACACACACACACACATACATATATATGTATATATGTTTACAAAAATTTTAAGATACTGATGTTTTTGTTCAAAGACATACAGGGACATTTACAAATGAATGACTACCTGTGCCTGGTTATATCATACATGTAGCTTCTTTTTCATAGTGACTTTAGGTGATCTCCATGCTGTCTGTACTTATGACTGTTAGACATTCACATACAACATGTATGTTTTCTGTGTTTCAAATATGATTTGTTACGTTTTCACTTAAAAGCTAATTATTAATTATCTTTTTATTTAAAAAAGATTTTATTAAAAGTTAGACTTAAAAAGCTATCACATTAAAAAGAGATGTAAAAGTTATATATATATATATAATATATAGATGGTAACAAAGGTTAAAAAGGGCTGTTGTCTTTAGACAAAAGAGATTTTATATGGGAAATTTATGAAAGACGGTTATAACATAGTTGAAATCTAATTATAAGTACCACAGCCAAAATTCTAAGTATGGAGGTAAAATTAATGTTCTAGTTTTCTCTCTTGTTACAACAATAAGTTTTCCTTTTTTCCTGCTACTTTCATGAGTGTGTGGTATGCATGTATGTGTGTAAGTTTTCACATGTCTGTGTGTATACATGCATGGCAGGGCTGAAGCTGATGCCAGGGATGATCTCAACAGTTTTTCTACCTTATTCAATGAGGCAGAGTCTCAAACAAAACCAGAGCTTCCTGGTATGAGCAGTCTCACTAGCCAGCTTGCTCTGGGGAGTCTTTGGGCATTTCCTTCCAAGGCTGTCATGACAGAGGCTGCCATGTTCTCCCAGCAATTATATGGTTCTGGGGATCCAAAGGCTTGTTTCACACTTGCATGGCGAATAACTGGCCATCTCCCCAGCCTCTAGCTTCCCTAAGTTTCCATTTTTCTCTTAATAATATTTACAAAGGATTAGTGATTTACTTAATTAATTTATATGTCTATGTGTTGGCTAATGTGTGCCATGGCTCATGTATGGAAGTCATGGGACAATTTTATTTTCATTTTATTATCATAGTAAATGAGATACTAAAAACCTAGTGACCTATTGAGAGAAGCCAGTCACTTTCTGGGTACTCAGGGTCTTAACATTAGGAAAGATTAGGCCACAAAAGATTATTTCTCTTGAGATATTCTTGCTAAGTTACATACTTACTATAAAACTTACTCTGGTAGACAAATAATTAAATCTATTTTATGGGGAAGTCCTTCTGTGTACATGCTTATCTTATTGGTTGTTAAATAAAGCACTGTTGACCAATAGGGAAGCAAGATAGGTGAGACTAGGAGCCGAGGAGGATTCTGGGAAAGAGAGACAAAGGCAGACACCACGTAGGCTGCCAGAGGTCTGGACCCTTTTCTTCAGTAAGGGAAATACTTAGATTAGCAATTATGGGTTAAATACTTAAGTCAGACCTAGCCAGTAAGAAACCAAGCAAACCACCAACAGCTTCATAATTAATATAGTATCTTGTGTGTCATTTGGGGGTTCAGAGTGCGGCAGGGCCCAGGCGACTGGTGGGGAAAACTACACTCTACATCTATTTATAAATTTGGCCCCTATACAAATTTCATTGTAACTGTGATCCTCAGTCCTCTAGATGGATAATTAAATAAACAACTAGAATCAGTAAATTGTGAGATTTTTTTTTTACAGTAAACCTGTGGGAACTAAAGACAATGAAATGATTTTATTAATCAAAAGAAGACCCCCTCAGCCTAGAGGGAAAATATTGTGCTTTCATATTTTGTAAATTCTGCTATATGTTAGAGATGCTTGAAGTTAGATTGGTGCATTTCTAAGGCTAAGGTAAAGATTATATTGTATCCTTAATTAAATCATGTTTTTTTGTTTTTGTTTTTTGTTTTGTTTTACGAGACAGGGTTTCTCTGTATTGTTTTGGAAGCTGTCGGTCCAGCCTGGCCTCGAATTAAATCATGTTTTTGGTGATTTACTTTTGCAGACTATTCACCCTACTTGGACCAACTTTACATCTTTAAAATTTTCAAATATTAAAGAAATTAATTTGAAATTGACCCAAATTTATTTTAAATCTTCCAAAAGAAATTGTATTTGTAGTGTATCTATAATTTAATCCAAACTCTTAAATCCAAACCTTAACTTTTGCTAATTAAAAGAATTAACTGAGTCCAACCACTGAGATCATTACTCTTCTGCTTTGACTCAGTTTACTCCAGTTGGGAATAACTGAAGATTTCCAGCGACACTTTCCAGACTGTACAAGAGCAATTGCTTCATTTACTGTGTCTTTACTTCAAGATGTACTACGTTTTGGCTTACTTTAATGTGAGACACAGTACTTCTGTTACATCAGACATAGTGGACAGGACAAAAATCAGATCAAATCATAATGGCTAATTGACTAATGTGATCCAGGAATTTCTTTCTTCACAGCTTTGCTAAACACTTCTCTTTCCCAAAGACCCACCTTCCTGTCTTAGAATGACCTTTCTGGCAATGGAACAAATAGAAGAAAAATTTTCATGTTTCTTCAAAAGCTGTACTGTGTCACTACAGTTTCAACAAGTGATAGATATGTTGTCAGCACCTCCATAGTGAGTGTGGACAGGTCCAAAGGCAAAAGTTATATCCAGGGTTATATTACCCTCTCTAACTCCATGATACACCCCCTGTCAGCAGGAGGCAAACAGTGCTCAGTATCTCAACACCCTCTTATATAAAGTTATTCCTCCATTTATGTTTATATAAATAAAAGACAGGGAATATTAGAACCCATACCAACTGCTGCCACTGTAATTGTGTTTACAATTACCCTCACAAGTCATCCTGTATACACTCCCCTAGGCTAATAGAATCTGAGCAATTAGAGGATGCGGGAAACACCCTTTACCATGGAGGCACCTTAGCTAGATGCCAACTCCCATCCTCAAGGCTCTACCCTCAACATCACATTCCTTCAGCAAAATGCAAGACTTTCTCCCCCCACTGCTGCCCATGAATCAGAGCCAGACTGACTACAAGTGTGTACTCATCAACCACATGCATGGCAACTCCCCCTCCCGCTGCTGACGCCTGTATGTGCATAAGGGACTTTGTTAACTCGACCCCAGCAGCTTGAGCACCGCAAAGCCTCCTGCACGCTGTTTTTGTCTATAGCACTCGGGTCTGAAGCCCCACAGAGCCTCGGCTGCGCTGAGGCTCCTGTCTGTCTGTGGGTCTGAAGCCCCACAGAACCTCGGCTGCGCTGAGGCTCCTGTCTGTCTGTGGCATTAACAACCCTTCTAACACACTTCTCACACAAAAGGACAATCTGCCTCCGTGTCTCCTTCGCACTGTGAACCCCAAACCTTTCACTGAGTATGTGACTTCCTGATACCCTGACTTTAGTACACCCCTGGGTCCGTCCCTAGCTCCACTTCTTCACAGAACAACCCACCAACCATCTGTTCACACTAGGCACGGGCTGGCCTGGGCATTCAAGCTGGTGAAGACCTTGTCATTTTCTTGTGGCAGCTCAAGGGCTACAAGAGCAATGATTACAAAATGAGTTGTACTGATATATCAGGGGTGTGATAGATGCTTTCATGTGGAAGGGGACATGAGGAAAGTCCTTGAAGGGAAGGTGAGATTGAGCTTGGTCTTACTTAATGAGGGCTCCCCACCTGGGAGCTGTGGAAATTCTAGGAATGGGATCATTATTAACAGAGTTGTAAAACTATTGAAGAGGGAAAGAGTTACATGTAGTTCTGGCTGGGCTTGAGGTCAGCAAGGCAGGCAGGACCGAATCCAGGAAGCCTTCTTCTTCAGAGTAAGGAACTAGATTCTACCCTGAAGGTCTGGATCCCCGCGTTTTATTAGGCCTCTGAACCACTTGGGGTGCTGGTTGAAGGAGACTTTTCAGCTCTCAAGAATCTGACTCTCTCAGTCTAAATAGGGTACCTGGAATCTGATTCCTTGACAAGCACTTCAGACAGTAGCCAAACAGGTTGTCACAGATTACACCCTGAGAAACACCACTGGAGAAGATAAGAAGCCTCTGCAGAATCTTCAAATTCAGGACGTACTTTGACCAGATGTCTGAGAAAGTCAAAGTGAAGAAGACGCTTCAAGGCAGACTCCATAGTGGAGTAGACAAATTTGTTAACTGGAAGTGAGAATTGACTGTATAAACAAGTGATTAGGAAGAACCTGGCTGGTGGAGGCACTGAGGTTAAGTCAGCTCAACTCCTGTTACCCCTTACACTAATTTGTCTTAGTTTTTCCGACACTGTTTTAGATGTCTCCATCACCTTATGCAGAACTCAGAGGCATCATCAGCTCTGATGCCTGTACTTGTTTACTGCCAAGCTCTGACCACTCTTCCATGTCTGTTGTTACCATAGTGACACAGCCTTCCTGGCCTCACAGGGGCAGGACTCCTTTTGCTTACATTCGGTGCACAGCAGTCATGCGGGTCAGGCTTTGCGCCCCCACCTATGAACTCAGTGACCTCAGACATGCACAGCTCCTGTTGCTCATCCATCCTCCTTGTCTCACCTGCTCACCTCCTGGGGTCTTGCTGGCTGTGCCAGGCCTTCCTGAGCTGCTCAGAACCTCCCTCAAGAGCCAGCACCAAGTTACTCTCTTTTACACTAGCACTGACATTAACCACTTTGCCCTTTCTATTCTTTAGTGATTTGTATAATCTATGATAATGTTATTTAGAAGCTTTGTAGTTTTCAACGTATCTTCCCTTGAATAGAAGGCTGAATTGTCTCAGTAAACAAATAACCTTAACTTATTTTGGTAGTGAAAACTTGTTTGTGTAGATATTTAGTAGGTTAGTGAACCCTAATTCTAATATGAAAGGGGAATATAAGACTGTCTGTTTTATAGATACCAATCTTTCAAACCATGCCAAGATAGTCCCTCATTTCAATAATTGTGTGATAAATAAGGAAGACTTGCAGTTTGTTTAAGGTATTTAGCATGTTACTTTGGTGCATTTAATATGGTTCTACTATTAAACAAGCCTAGACTGAAGTTAGTTTCCTTTCTTGCTGGCTGTGTAGCCTTAAATCAAGTGGATAACCTTTATGTTCTTCTATTCTATCATCAGCTGGATAGTGTCACTCATCTCACACTTGACTGCAAGGGTGCAAAAAGTATGTTCACACTGAGGTGACTAAGCATGGCTAGTCACTTCTGGTCATTTAACCATCAGTTATTAGGTATACACAGTTTACAAGAGAAGAGGCTAATTTTAGACTTTCATAATAATAATCTTAAAACTGTAGGGCTTAACCCACAATGGACACTTTCTGCTAAAAACAAGTATGATTAGGTGATTGGAAAAAGGAGGAGGTATGAGATAAGAGGGAGATGGAAAGATCATACATTCAAGGCCAGACTGGGCTGGACAGTGATTGCTAGTACAGAGTCTCAGAAGAAAAGGAGCAACTCTTTTATTAGATGAATAATAGCTCACCGAAAAGGTGTACTGTGAGCCTAAGTAATAAAACATTTTCATTTGAATATAAGTAGCAGCACATGCTTTCATTTTTCTTTATTTTAATGTTAAATTGATACAGTGTTTTCACTAACCAACAGCAGAAAGGAACATCTGCCGAATGGGTAATAATATTCTAGGGATAACATAATGCAAAAGTGAGATAATGTTTATTATTAGCAATTGATATTAGCTCACTTCTGAGTTTTATTCTAAAAACATTTGCATTCTTTTTAGTAGGATTACTTAATTTTAAAAATTGGAAAGAAGTAGAAAAATGTGTTTTTCATATACTCATCCAGGACACATGTCATTCATCTCAACATTGACTGAGTTAGAAACCTCAAAACAGAGGACCCAGCACCTCATCAGAGGGAGGTGAACAGTGGCCTGCTCTTTCCTCACACACTGGGTACTGGGAGAGGCAAGATGCTGTTTTGAATATTTTATTAAACATTGGTTATATTGATGCAACTAATAATTGACTAGATTTGACTCAGAGATGCCAATAAAAGTTGCATGACCAGGAGGCACACAGTGTATTTTAAATCCACTTTGGCAAATGCTATATCCTGCTGACAGATAAGCTTTCTGCAGGGTTTGTACACAAGTAGACAGCCTCCATGAACTCGGTAAAGATCACTTCACGAGGACAGAGGTCACAGGCACAGAGGAGACAGTGTCTTTACATGATACTCTGCATGCCTTGGTTTCATGGGCACTACCCAGGCTTCCAGATACCTCAAACCTATCAATTCACTGAGTGTCCTAGAAACACAGAGCTTACACAGATTTGAACAGATTTGAATTTTAAAGTACTCATTTGGGCCTTTCACAAGTCATTCTGTTTTGATTCCCATCCCATCTGGTGATCTGAATGCGCCTTAGGAAGGACCCAGGGCAGTTTATAAGGAATCCTAAATCTGAGTCACATTACAGTGTTGTCTAAGTTACTTTGCTTCACAGAGAGCATCTGGCTTCCACTGGCAGAGGCAGGTAGTCTTGTGTCATAGACTACCACTCAATAATACACTTACATCAAATTCCATCAACCCTTACCGTGTATGTGATGGTTTCCTCAGTGTCCTGTGACTTTACCAGCATTACCGTCAGCATAGTTAGGAAAACTGTTTGCAACATCGTGACTCTCTGAGGGAAACAAAAGATAATGCTTAGCGCCTGCTGCCTGCAAAATCAAAACTCTAGCTGGCAAGAAAGGGAGGGCGGGGAGCCCAAGATACTCAATTTCCAATCTGCTTTCTCACCCCTGCCCCCAGTCACCAAGAGGAGAAACTACAGCAGAACCACATTTATTTCATTTCATTCATCCCGTACCAAGGATGCTCAGCGTGTGTTTATACCACGCCTAAGCACTAGGCTCCCAGTAAGGGGAGTCACAAGGGGGCTATAGAATATGAGCAATTCCAAAGACCACTGTGCAACCCCCCTCACCCCACGGAGGTGGAAATGGGCAGCATCTGTCTGTTCTCCGGAGCTTTAGAGCAACTACATGGCTCACCTCTAGCTGGTGAAGTTCTCCACCCCACCCCCAGAAAAATACCTGAGAACTAATATGAACCACGTGGCCTCAGACTTTCTTCCCCTTAAAAAAATAAAAAATATCCAAACTAGAAGAGCGATCTCTAAGGTCCTAGTAGAATATCCCACAGAGTTTCTCATTCACCGCAGGGTCACTTCTCTAATCCCCTCTCTTAAAGCTCCATTTCCAGCCCTGCTCTAGGAGCACAGCTTTGAGGGGCGAGATCAACCCCTCAAAGTCCCTGATAACTTGTTCCTTCGTTCCCAGGTCTCAAAATGTGCTATGCGCAAGGTCTAGGCTGTTAAGGTCGGACATCAGACTGCACTGCAACAGTGGGTGCCAGTTTTGGGGTGCCTGGCTTGGTGCCTACAGGGAATTGAGCTCCGTTTTCTTGGGTGTAAGCTACTAGGCGCCTGCCTGTCAGCGAGAGTTGCTGAGCGCTTTAGCTTCCAACCAGCGGCTGCCCAATTCAGGTACCTCTCAAATCTCGCACATCAGTCACTGAACCTAGAGACCATGGTCATCAGCAAAGCTTTAGGAGTTGGTAGTCAGCGCGTACACTCTGTCCATCGGCTTAGGCTGACGGATTGCATTTCCAGACCCTCACCTTAACCTCCCTCTCCTCTGCCGGGTTGCACAGACTGGGACAATTCTTGGGTCACCCCACCACACTCCCCGGTGCAGCCATCGCGGGTGGAGCGCGCACCCTGCGAACTCGGCTTGGGGCTCCTACCTGCCGGGGCCGCTCGCCCCTCTCCTGCTCTGGCAGCGAAGGAGTGCACAGGGGAGGGCAACCCGGTGGGTCTGAAATGGCGAGGTCTGGCAGCAGCAGCAGCCACAGGAGGAGGAGAAAGGGAGGAGAAGTAGGGCGAAGGAGGGCGGAGGAGAGAGAGAGGGAGGCGCAAGAGCCCAGCCCAGGCTTCAAGCCCGCGGGAAAGCGCGCCTCTAGGCGTCAGGGGTGCCCAGCTGTCCTTGGTGTAGGTCCCTCGGTCCCCTATTCACAAGGATTTGTTTGGGACTTGGTGCTCAAATATCACTCCCACAGCGCCTTTTAGGTTCTACAGAAATGCCTTTTTTTCTTATCGCAACAAGTGATTCTTGGAAGAGTAAATAAACTAAGGTTATTCCCAGAGCTGGTCCTTTTACTCTTCTTCTCCTTTTTATTACCTTTTGGGGGGTGGGTGGGTGGTGGTGTAGGTAGGAGTCTGCTTCCTCAAATGGTGAAAGATGAGAATGAATGAGTTCATTTCCTGACCTACTAGGTGCTCGGTGTTGGGTGTGGGTCAAATGGAGCTCACCTAATGAAATGTGTGCCTGCCTGAATGCATGCCCCCCCTCTGTCTCTGTCTCTCTCTTTCTCTCTCTGCCTCTGTCTCTCTGTCTCTGTCTCTCTCTCTCTGTTGTAATGTTGCTGGTCTTTCAACTCCTCTCCTTTTTCATCTACAGCTTTTTATTTCTCCCCAATATTGCTCATCCAAAGTTATGTTAGGCATTTGCTTCCATCTTTCATAATAGTAGTGGAATTTCAGGAATCTGAAGAGAGATTTTTTTTAAATCTACTTCATCAAGTCATACCACACAAATTGCAGCTATCTATGATAGTTTCGCTAGCCCTAGAGACAGGCACTTCCCTTCTGCTGCTGGTGTGCCGTTTAAGAACCAAGTTACCAAATGCATTTCAGAAGTTATAGAACTTGGTAACTTGGAGGGGCTAAGGACATACTTGTTCAGGGGCAGAATGCAGAAGGTGAGGGAGTGGGGAGTTGGCAGAGAATGTTGGGGAAAACCTGCCAGGTGGTGACCACTCTTATGTCTTTGGGGTAGGTGGGTTACCTAGACAACAAGGTAACTGTGGTAACAAGCCACCCAACACTGGGCAGGATCAGAGGAGTTTGATAGAGTGTGTAAGACTTTGATGATTGTAACAAAGACTTTGACTACTAAGTTTCTAGTAAGTCCCTTGACCCCTCTTGTCTTCAATGACTCCAAATTGTTTTTCTTTATTTTGAAAAGTTGATTCTTCTTTTCTGTATGACAAAAACACCTCTCTATGTGTTTTCTTGCTTAAATTCTCTTCAGCTTTTTCTTTGGAGCAACAAGGTAAAAGGCTTCCGATCGTCTATCTGTAGTTCAGTGATCTTCTTGCACACCCAGATGTTGGTTGACTACCTTTATTTAGACATCGGACAGGCATTTCAGACTGAACACGTTCAGGCCCCATCTACTCCTCCACCCATCGGCTTCATCCTTTCAGTCAAGAGGAATTTCATCTCTTTGTGCTCACATCCAGTTAGCTTCATTCTTTGTTTCATGGACACTGCATTCAGTTCTCCAGAAAACTATGCCAACTTTACCTTTGAGATGCATGCAGAACTGGACCGTCCTCATCTTCTTTGCAGCCACGCTGATTTAGACTTTTCTATCTGGATTATTACAACTCCTGATTGATCTCTCTGTGTGCACCTTTGTTCATCTGCAGCTGTTCAGCTCAGAAGTGCATGTGAATAGAACCATACAGCATATAATTGTTTTGGATCTGGTTTCCTTCACTTGGCATGCTTTTGAGATGAAGCCTTATTTAGGGCCCAGAAATTCATTTTATTCATTGATGGGTGGCATTCCACTGTGTGGCTGTATCTCAAGTTTTCTGTTGGATTTTTGATGAATATTTGGATTGTTTATGAATAAAGCTGCTTTGGGTATTCACTTAGATTTTTTAAAAAATAGGTATGTAGTTTTCTTTTAGGTAAATTCTTGAGGAGTAGAATTGTACATTTACCTTTATTCTCTCTTTGCTCTGTGACTTTATTAACAGTTAGTGCCTGGCAGCTGCAATGCTGTCTTTCTGGTGGCTAACTTGTGTCTATGAAGTTTCATGTAACATTTCCGCTATGTCCATAACACAACACTCTTTTTCATTTAACTAATGGTAAAACTTCCTTTTAAAGATTTTTCTCCAAATCTTTTGTTGATTCCTTTATTGACTTTGTCTTATTGGTTGTGGAAGTGCTTTTCAGTCATCTTTCTAGTCCTTAGTCAGATACAATTTGAACGTTTTCTCCCTGTCGTTTCAATGTGTTACGGCTGTCTTTTGAGAGTCAGTGTTTTCAATTTTGAAGAAGTTTATGATCTTTTAATATTTTGTCCTTTTTTTCTACTCAAAAATCTGTTTTGAGAATTTTTTTTTACCATTTCTAAAATTGTACTGCTTTTGTCAAATGGAAGGACGGAGTTTCCATTTCCCAAGGTTTTTAAAACTGACATTTGTGTGTGTGTGCGTATGTGTGCATGTATGTGTGTGTGTGTGTGTGTGTGTGTGAGTGTGTGTGTGCTTGCGCACGCGCTTGCTTGTGCACATGTATGCATGCATGCATGCGTGCCACATGTGCAGAGCTTAGGGGACAGCTTGTGGAAGTCACTTCTCTCCTTTCACCATGTGGGCTCCAGGGATTGAACTCAGATTGTCAGGCTTGGCAGCAAGCGCCTTTTCTCAGCTGAGTCATCTTACTGGTCCCTTGAGGTTGTTCTGAACAAAAAACCCATGAAGACTATCAAACACACGAAAATAATTGTTTTTAGATATCAGAACATCTGGTGCTCCACCCTAACAGGGTATTTTTCAGGCGTTACTTCCTGTCCTGACCGTGTGCTGACTAGCACAGATGCCATGCAACGAGTGAGGTTGCTGATGGGTGCTGTCTCATGGTGGACCTTTATTCTATGTAGGACCAATAAGGGCTAAAATAAAGAGCTGTTTTGTTCGTTTCTTCTTTGTGGTGCTGGCAATGAACCCAGGGCTTTATGAATGCTGGGCAGTCTCTTTGCCATTTAACTATAGCCCAGACTCGAAAGGAAGGTCAGTCTGTATTCACTATACTGCTGTTGTCATCATACACTGCTGTTGTCATCATACACTTGCCAGTAGTTGCCACACTGTTTTCGTCTGTTCCTCGTCTTTCTTATGTGAATAGCTTCTTGGCTTTCCTTTGGAAACTAAGGCATATCGTGTAAGACCTTAATGAGGTCTGTTTACTGAGTGTACTTAAATGTACACAAAAGAAAAGGCCTTAAGCTCAGAAATATTGCTGTAATTTTGGTCCTTGCTAAATTATTTTGGAAAGCTTAAGCCATTGAACAACTAGGTTCCTGAGAATTTCAAATATTTTTACCCACATTCTTATATCTATGAGATTAGTCAGACATAGATTTTGATCTTCAAATACTTCATAGACCTGCAGAATATGGTATTTAAATGTTTTAATATTAGTACTCTGTTGAGATGAGACACAATTGCTCCTGACAGCATCATGCTGTTTCCCGAGAAAATGTTGGGCACCAATGTCACTCTTTCCAGAGTTCATTCTCTCCTTGGCTAATGGTCTCTTGGGCAAAGAACTGTCCCCACCTCAACCACTGACTTTGGACCTGCTGTCCTACTGTGCTTGCAGGAGATAAACTAGAAGACTGCTGAACCTTGCCAAGTCAGGGTAAGACAGCCTTTCTACCTCCCTGCTTCTGTGTTGGTCAGTCAGATACTCTAGGCCTTAGCCAAAGCTGGTTGCCCCTACGCTGCTATGAGACTTTGGGTGACTGTCCAGGTAGCCTGCTGTTTCCGTCTTCTCTGCATCTTTTGAAGTTGCTCACCTGGGATTCCTGCCTACCCTAGTATTTTTATCTTCCTTCTCAGGTCTTTAATGAGGTTGAAGATTAGACACTCACAATTTTTGTTCTCTCTCCCTAGATAGAAATATTAGGTACAAGACTTAAACTTTCCAGCTTATAACAGCTCTATAGTAATCTGTTATGCCTTTACCCTAGGACTGGATATGTAGTACTTGCCATTTGCTCTTGTTGCTTTGCTGGCTTTACATCTTGAGGGTGTGTGTTTGTACTTTTACTTCTCCTAGCACATACTTGATTTTTGCCGTCTTTGCATATAGTTTTGTATCAAGTCTAAATCTTTTCTTTAGACTAAAAGGGGAATTGTAGGGAGAGAACTTACTAGGTACTCATTTGGGCATGTGGGGTTTAGACCTGAGGAGAGGACAGGCACTCCCTGTTGAGGGTTCCAGTCAGATCTCTGAGGGCAACTGAGATTGGATGCTCAGGCCACTGACCCTGGGTTATTGGTTTCTAATGTAAGTGATTTCTCCCCCAATAAAATTAAACTATGTCACCCCTATCCCATGTATAGTATTCTTTTTCCAACACAGCAGTGTAGTTAAGGGGCAATGGGCCAGAACCAGAACAACAAGCATGTCAAAACTCAGCTGTTGGGTTTGGTGACATGACTGAATCACTGGATTAATGGCTTTGGTAGTGATTTGCTTCTGTGTGCTAGTAGCACTAAGGACACAGACCACCTTTCCTCTTCTCTGGTCTAGAAGACAGCCCTTCTAGCTATGATGCCGAGATCTCCAGTCTCCAGGCCTGCCTTTGGGAGTTACAGGCACACTAAAGGCTGGGTAGCCTAAGAGTCCCTACTTCATTTTGTCCTTTGCCGGGATTTTACATACCTTTGAATCCAGACACCATGGTTTCTGGAAAACATTTCTTTGCTATGTGATTTGCATGAGGTTTCTCCCCAACTCCCCTGGCTTCATGGGCAATGTGTGCCTTGACTTCGTTAATCATAGCATCAAACCTCCTGTAGTCATATAGAGAATGGCTAAAGAATGGCAGACTCACCCTGAGATAACCAACATAATGGTGATGGAGCATGAGGCATAGAGCCTGCAGGGCTGTATCCAAGTTTTGACTAGCATTTCCCAGTCATGTGAACTTTGAACTTAACCTCTCCAAGCCTCGATCTCCTCATAAGTTAAAAAGGGGCAGATGGAGTAATGTTTTTTTACATTGTAGATGTTCTACAAGTGTTAAAAGTATCCACA